AGCTAATCATTGCCAATATTGTTTTTTCGGTTTTGGATTCTGGACATTTTATTTTGAACTCTTTAATGTGTTCTCCTACTGTATATTTTTTTCAAAATTTTTTTTTGGTTTTCTAAAATGCATTTGCCTGCGGGCGCCAACACTCCCCTTCAATTTTTTTTTTAGGAATTTGACTCTAGTTGAATTTTTTGTATAGACTTGAATATTGTTAACAAGCAGGTGCCCTCTGCATTATCATTCTTTAATGAGCTTATCATTGGCAATATTGTTTTTTCGGTTTTGGATTCTGGACATTTTATTTTGAACTCTTTAATGTGTTCTCCTACTGTATATTTTTTTCAAAATTTTTTTTGGTTTTCTAAAATGCATTTGCCTGCGGGCGCTAACACTCCCCTTCAATTTTTTTTTTAGGAATTTGACTCTAGTTGAATTTTTTGTATAGACTTCAAGACTTGAATATTGTTAACAAGCAGGTGCCCTCTGTATCATCATTCCTTAATGAGCTAATCATTGGCAATATTGTTTTTTCTGTTTAAGATTCTGGACATTTTATTTTGAACTCTTTAATTTGTTTGCCTACTGTATAATTTTTTCTATTTTTTTTTTTGTTTTCTAAAATGCATTTGCCTGCGGGCGCCAACACTCCCCTTCAATTTTTTTTTTAGGAATTTGACTAGTTGAATTTTTTGTATAGACTTGAATATTGTTAACAAGCAGGTGCCCTCTGTATCATCATTTTTTAATGAGCTAATCATTGCCAATATTTTTTTTTCGGTTTTGGATTCTGGACATTTCATTTTGAACTATTTAATGTGTTCTCCTATTGTATATTTTTTTCAAAATTTTTTTTTGGTTTTCTAAAATGCATTTGCCTGCGGGCGCCAACACTCCCCTTCAATTTTTTTTTTAGGAATTTGACTCTAGTTGAATTTTTTGTATAGACTTGAATATTGTTAACAAGCAGGTGCCCTCTGTATTATCATTCTTTAATGAGCTTATCATTGGCAATATTGTTTTTTCGGTTTTGGATTCTGGACATTTTATTTTGAACTCTTTAATGTGTTCTCCTACTGTATATTTTTTTCAAAATTTTTTTTGGTTTTCTAAAATGCATTTGCCTGCGGGCGCTAACACTCCCATTCAATTTTTTTTTTAGGAATTTGACTCTAGTTGAATTTTTTGTATAGACTTCAAGACTTGAATATTGTTAACAAGCAGGTGCCCTCTGTATCATCATTCCTTAATGAGCTAATCATTGGCAATATTGTTTTTTCTGTTTAAGATTCTGGACATTTTATTTTGAACTCTTTAATTTGTTTGCCTACTGTATAATTTTTTCTATTTTTTTTTTTGTTTTCTAAAATGCATTTGCCTGCGGGCGCCAACACTCCCCTTCAATTTTTTTTTTAGGAATTTGACTAGTTGAATTTTTTGTATAGACTTGAATATTGTTAACAAGCAGGTGCCCTCCTTATCATCATTTTTTAATGAGCTAATCATTGCCAATATTGTTTTTTCGGTTTTGGATTCTGGACATTTCATTTTGAACTCTTTAATGTGTTCTCCTACTGTATATTTTTTTCAAAATTTTTTTTTGGTTTTCTAAAATGCATTTGCCTGCGGGCGCCAACACTACCCTTCAATTTTTTTTTAGGAATTTGACTCTAGTTGAATTTTTTGTATAGACTTGAATATTGTTAACAAGCAGGTGCCCTCTGTATTATCATTCTTTAATGAGCTAATCATTGCCAATATTGTTTTTTCGGTTTTGGATTCTGGACATTTTATTTTGAACTCTTTAATGTGTTCTCCTACTGTATATTTTTTTCAAAATTTTTTTTTGGTTTTCTAAAATGCATTTGCCTGCGGGCGCCAACACTCCCCTTCAATTTTTTTTTTAGGAATTTGACTCTAGTTGAATTTTTTGTATAGACTTGAATATTGTTAACAAGCAGGTGCCCTCTGTATCATCATTCTTTAATGAGCTTATCATTGGCAATATTGTTTTTTCGGTTTTGGATTCTGGACATTTTATTTTGAACTCTTTAATGTGTTCTCCTACTGTATATTTTTTTCAAAATTTTTTTTTGGTTTTCTAAAATGCAATTGCCTGCGGGCGCCAACACTCCCCTTCAATTTTTTTTTTAGGAATTTAACTCTAGTTGAATTTTTTGTATAGACTTGAATATTGTTAACAAGCAGGTGCCCTCCTTATCATCATTCTTTGATGAGCTAATCATTGGCAATATTGTTTTTTCGGTTTTGGATTCTGGACATTTTATTTTAAACTCCTTAATGTGTTCTCCTACTGTATATTTTTTTCAAAATTTTTTTTTGGTTTTCTGAAATGCATTTGCCTGCGGGCGCTAACACTCCCCTTCAATTTTTTTTCTAGGAATTTGACTAGTTGAAATTTTTGTATAGACTTGAATATTGTTAACAAGCAGGTGCCCTCTGGATCATCATTCTTTAATTAGCTAATCATTGGAAATATTGTTTTTTCTGTTTTGGATTCTGGACATTTTAGTTTGAACTCTTTATTGTGTTTTCCTACAGTATAATTTTGTCTATTTTTTTTTTTGGTTTTCTCAAATGCGATTGCCTGCGGGCGCCAACACTCCCCTTCAATTTTTTTTTTTAGGAATTTGACTCAAGTTGAATTTTTTGTATAGACTTCAAGACTTGAATATTGTTAACAAGCAGGTGCCCTCTGTATCATCATTCCTTAATGAGCTAATCATTGGCAATATTGTTTTTTCTGTTTAAGATTCTGGACATTTTATTTTGAACTCTTTAATTTGTTTGCCTACTGTATAATTTTTTCTATTTTTTTTTTGTTTTCTAAAATGCATTTGCCTGGGGGCGCCTTCACCCCCATTCGAAATTTTTTTTAGGAGTTTGCTTTAGTTGAATTTTTTGTATTGTCTTGAATATTGATACCCTACAGGTGCCCTATGAATAATCTTTCTTGAATGGGCTTAATCATTTTGAATAGTTTTTTCTGTTTAAGATTTCGGACATTTTAGTGTTAGAACTCTTTAATGTGTGTTAAAATTGTATAATTTTTTTTTTTGGTTTTTCTAAAATGCATTTTTCTGCGGGCGCCAACACTCCGCTTCAATTTTTTTTTTTGGAATTTGAAAGTAGTTGAATTTTTTGTATAGACTTGAATATTGTTAAGAAGCAGGTGCCCTCTGTATCATCATTCTTTAATGAGCTAATCATTGGCAATATTGTTTATTCTGTTTTGGATTCTGGACATTTTAGTTTGAACTCTTTAATATGTTTTCCTACCGTATATTTTTTCCTAAATTTATTTTTGGTTTTCTAAAATGCAATTGCCTGCGGGCGCCAACACTCCCCTTCAATTTTTTTTTTAGGAATTTGACTCTAGTTGAATTTTTTGTATAGACTTCAAGACTTGAATATTGTTAACAAGCAGGTGCCCTTTGTATCATCATTCTTTAATGAGCTAATCATTGGCAATATTGTTTTTTCTGTTTTGTATTCTGGACATTTTAGTTTGAACTCTTTAATGTGTTTTCCTACTGTATAGCGCGCAGACCACAACCTTGAAAACCGGTCATTGTCGCTGCCGTCAACAGCCACCGCCGCCAGAACATGACCCAGTTTTGCTATAATTGGAACACACCGGCGACGCCGCCGCCGCCAGCTGATCTCTATTTACGCGAACGCGATAATCGAACAAATCAGCAAACGTCGCGTGAAATCCGCGTACACAAACGCAAATAAACAAAAACACACCACTGCATATATATTGTAAACCGCGCGGAAAGCACAGCCCCCGAACACACAACACCACAACGATCACACCTGAAATTTATTACAATATGACTGGTAAGACGTTGTCGGTGTTGACGTCGGCGGAACTACGTGCAGAATATACGGCCCGCGGGCTCAGTATTTCCGGGTCAAAGCCGGATCTAATAATCAGGCTAGAGCAGGAAATACGGGACCAAGGACTGGAACCCGAAAACGTGCGCTTTTACCACGACCGGGAACCTACCGCGGAACCTACGCAGGTAGACTCGGAGGCAGACCGGTCCGACGGTCAACAGTCCAATGGAGGTTTAGAGGTCCCCCAAGGACAGCAAACACCAGCGGACAGTGGATCAGGACAGGGCATGTCCCAGCCGACCATGCAACAGGTCCGGACCGTAACCAAAACAACTAATGACACTTTTGAAACCGCCGCTGCACAAATAAAACAGCTCAGACCAACAACGCCACCAACTAGCGACGCACAAACGTATGAGGCACGCTTACTTGCACTGGAAGCAAGCATGACACGTTTCTACACAGAAACACGGTCAACAAGCTTCCAACTACCACATTACAGTACAGCACCGTGGTATCAAAACCACACGTCACCCGTACAGATACCCACGCAGACTCACGGGGGTTATCAGACGGGTATGCCGTATGAGCACAATAACGGTGGAGCACAACAGAACGCCAACCATATTGCCTCAGGGAACAACACAACGTTCTTCACGCCCGAAACACAAAACAATAATTACACGGGGTATACGAATGGAGCACCACAGTACACGCCATACACGCACACGCACACACAAGAGCGATCGGTACTAGTACCGTACGACGATTTGCGCGCCGCAAGGTCCTCATTACCCGAGTACACAGGTACAAGGGCTGAGGACCCCGTCAGGTATATAGCTCAGCGGTTCTCAAACTGTGCTCCGCGGAGCCCTAGGGCTTCGCGAGATTAGTCTAGGGGCTCCGTGGCTCCCTGAGAATATCTGTATTAATTAAATTTAAATTATTAAATTTCAATATGTTGAATATATTTTTTTGAAATAGAAGGATTGACTTGGGATAATTGTATTGATATTTGTACAGATGGAGCGAAGGCAATGGTTGGAAAAACTGCTGGCGTGGTTTCGCGAATTAAAGAAGTAACCAACAATTGTAGTAATAGTCATTGCATTCTTCATCGTCAAGCACTTGCTATTAAAAAGATGCCAATACCTCTTAAAAATGTACTTGATGAGGCAGTGAAGATTATAAATTTCGTAAAATCTCGACCATTGAGCACAAGACTGTTCACAATTTTGTGTGAAGATATGGGAAGTATGCACAAATCACTACTTTACCATACCGAAATAAGATGGCTTTCTCGGGGAAAAACACTTGTACGCTTACTCGAATTGCGCAATGAATTGTACGTTTTTTTCACCGATCACCCATTTAATTTACAGCTCAGACTTAGTGATAAAATTTGGTTATTTCGACTTAGTTACTTGGCTGATATTTTTACAAAATTGAATGAAGTGAACTTATCAATACAAGGTAAAATGACTACCGTTTTCACGGCAAATGACAAAATTCGAGCTTTAAAAAAAAAAAATTAAATTTTGGGCTGTGTGTTTTTTTCAACATAAAATTGATAGTTTTCCTTTGTTAAAGGAATATTTAGAATCGATTGATGGTAATATTGAAGATTTTGATGAAATATATGGCGAAATTGAACAACATTTAAATGAAATACTATCGTCATTAGAAAAATATTTTCCAGAAAGTAAAGACATAGAATTTATCCAACGATATAATTGGGTTAAAAATCCGTTTTTAATCAACGATAAGCCCGAAGATTTATCTATAACGGAGTATGAAGAATTTATTGAAATGACCACCGATTCATCTTTAAAAACTTTATTTGATAAAATATCATTAACAGATTTTTGGTTCAGTAGCAGTATTACTAACGAATATCAATCTCTGGCTAAAAAAGCTATCTTAGCACTTCTTCCTTTCGCAACAACATATCTATGTGAAACCGGATTTTCTTCATATGCATCAATGAAAACCAAATATCGTAATAAATTGGATGCTGAAGCAGATATGCGTATTCAACTCTCGCATATCAAGCCAAATATAAAAATACTGGTCAATAAAAAAAGCCAACATCACGGATCACATTAATAAATAAATAAATTGCTAAAATTTTATGTTATTTTTTTCTAATTAAATTAATATTAATTGAATAATTTGTATATATTCGTATTTTACAGAAAATAAAAATAAAAAGCAAATCATTTACAATTGGCATCATTTTTTTTATGAATTTTAGTTGTCTCATATAGACATTTCTGATTTTTGGGGCTCCGTAATTTTTTTTAGGAATATAAGGGCTCCGCGAACAAAAAAGTTTGAGAACCGCTGATATAGCTAATACAGAATCGATATTGGTGCAGGCACGTATACACCTCACGGGTTAGTGTAGGGCAGTCGAGCCACAATTAAAAGGAACGGCGAGTACATGGTACACATCTATCAAGGCGCTCGACCTATCCTGGGAGGAATTTAGGGTAGAATTTTTCGAAAATTTCAACAATTCCGAAATTCAATCTCAATTGCGCGCCGACATCGTGTCAACACGGCAAACGCCAAGACAATCGCTAACAGAATTTGTGCTGATTAAAAACCAGCTAGCGCGCCGCGTAAATACCGGCCTATCCGAACGGGAATTGGTAGGTATTATCGCCGAGCTAACGCGCGACACGTTCCGTACGCACATACGCCTACACCGACCATTAACGTTCAGCGAGCTGAGACGCATCGCAGGTGTTTTGGACCCGGTAACGGATAAAGACCCGCCTACTCAACAATGGACCCCTAGGTCTAAAAAAGAGACGGAGACCCCACAAAAAGCACACCGGTTAAAAAAAAATTTTTCACCACAAACACAGAAAAAAAACCACCAGGGCCGTGCAAATATTGTGGGGAACCCCACTGGAACAGCAAGTGTCCAAATAAGCCGACCACGTCTGGAAACGGCGGGGGAGTCGACGAGGACTAGTCCCCCTCATCGACTCACCAGCAACCCCCCACCCACCACCACCCACTATCGGTAGTACACACGGAAAAAAAACACGTAATCGAAAAGCGCGTAGTTCGGAAAATTCAACACACAGAAAAACCAACTACGAACATTTTTTCCGTCTCATCACCAATCGGCACCCGTTCACAGACCCCCAACCTACACCACCCCACCACAGAACACACTCACCTCATCGGTGACACGTGTGTTCAACAACAACCGGCTCATGGGGCAGCCACAGGTGTAGGGACAAAGGCAACAGAGACACGGGTGTTCACCCACACAGGTGACGGGGACACAAGCACACACACCGCGCTTATCCCCGCATTAGGTCAGTCTACGCACGTAAAGCAAGAGGCGAGCAACAAGGCAACCGACGTTGACAGTATGGTCATGGCGGTTGACACCGACGACCAGACAGTTCCTGTCGCGGTTAAGAACCAATTGTCCCGCTCGACCGATTGCACTACGACTAATAATGATACGCGAACACGCCCAGACAAAATTCCGACCCCCGCGGTCGAGCTCGAATTTCCGTCAGGCTTCGTAACAGCTCTATTAGATTCGCAGGCACAAAAATCATACGTAAACCCGACAGTAGCCCATAAATACAGCAAAACACCTCCCCACGGACCAACAAGCACAGTCCGGATGGCGGACGGTCACACTGCAACAACCAGTGGCACCTCCACATTCGAAGCTAGGATAGGTGCACTCGACATTAAATTCGAAGCTACCATACTAGACAATTTGTATTGCGACGCGTTACTAGGACACGACTTTCTTGTAAACAATGAAGTCTCTTGGGATTACGCCGCGTGCACAATTCACATGGGAAAGCAAATTCGAACGTCAACATGTTGGAAAGGGAAGTCCCAACCACCCGCCACTCGTCCCGACTTGTCACAAGTAGAATTCGGAAACAACCCCGAAACTCGCGCGAAACTAACCAAGATTTTAAACAAATACGCTGTAGTATTCAGCGAAAAAGTAGGACGTACCAAATTAATTGAACACGAAATTTTGCTTAAAGACCCGTCACCAATCGCGCTCAAACCATACCCATATCTGCAGCAAAAACAAACCGCTATCGATGATATGGTGTGCGATATGGAACTCCAGAGGCTCGTAGAACCTAGCACCTCACCGTGGGCCGCACCAGTAGTATTGGCAAAGAAAAAAGACGGATCATTTCGCCTCTGTGTCGACTACAGGCGCCTTAACGACGTAACGGAATCCGACGCGTACCCTATGCCAGATCTCAACAAAATGATTAGGCAAATGCGGGGCGCGAAAATGTTCAGTATTTTTAATCTTCGCTCGGGGTACTGGCAAGTACCCTTACACAAAAATGCACGAAAATACACGGCATTTCGAACACGTAGAGGGCTATTTCAATTTCGAGTCCTCCCTTTCGGTCTCAAAAATAGTCCAATGACTTTCGTGAGACTCATGAACGAAGTTATGAGGGGTACCAGGATGAGTTCATACAAGTATACCTAGACGATATAGTAGTATTTTCAAGGAACGAGTACGAACATCAGGCCCACTTAGACAAAGTTCTCGAGCGTCTCAAGAGGTTTGGACTAACGTGCAACACTAAAAAATGTAAAATCGGACTACGCGAAATTTCATTTTTGGGGCACATTGTAGACTCGGAAGGCATACAAAAGCAACCGGAAAAATTAGTTTACATTGACAATTTTCCGGTTCCACGTAACGTTAGGGACGTACGAAAATTTTTATGGGTATGCAACTGGTACAACCAATTCGTAGACAACTACGCGGACACCATAGCACCCCTAACAAATTTATTGAAACAGGGGAATAGGTGGAAATGGACGGATGCCGAACAACGCGCGTTCAAGTCAATAAAAAACGCGCTAGTCACATCGCCGAAATTGTCCCCCCCCAGATTACAACAAAACGTTTTGTCTCCAAACCGATGCAAGCGAGATAGGAGCTGGTGCGGTACTCTTCCAACGGGGTGACAGACCGGAGGAAAGACGCATTATATCCTACGCAAGCAAAAAGTTAGCGAGACACAGACGAGGTACGCCGCGGTTGAACGCGAGTGCCTAGCAGTAATTTGGGCAACGGAAAAATTTCGACCATACCTAGAGACCCGACGTTTCGAACTCCTAATAGACAACTCGGCACTAACGTGGTTATACAGGGCCAAAGACAAAAATTCAAAATTAACACGTTGGTCACTACAACTAGCTAATTTAGATTTTAGTACGGTACACGTCCCGGGAATACAGAACGAAGCACCGGATTTGTTATCCCGCGACCCAGCACCGGGGGCACCCGTAGACGAAGATCAACTTGAGGAAAAATTGGTAGGGGCGCCCACAACGCCAACAACCAATGTGGACCTCAAGTCCGATCGTATCTTTTCTATGCGTGATAACCACGTCAGTGACAATACACCGCTCACCACGACGACTCTCCAAAAGTGGCAGTCCGAAGACGCCACGATTTGCGACGTAGTCGCCGGTCACAGGGGGGACGGCCCTGCTCAGAACACTAGGAGCTCAAAATCGGGAACAAACGCATACGTTTTTACCGAAGGACTCCTACGCATAAGCATAGGCCCCCACACACCCGTCGTGATACCAAAAACCAAAGCGCAACAGGTAATTTGGAGGTGTCAAGATCACGTTCTGTCTAACCATCCGGGTTGGAAAGAAACATACAGGGTGGTACGACAACGGTATTATTGGAAAGGGCAAAAGAACGACGTCAGGTTATATGTCGGGGCGTGCCACGTATGCACGTGCACGAAACCGCTAAACTCACGCCCAACCGATCCAATAAAACCTAGAACCCCCCGCCAACCATGGGAAGTTATCAGTGTCGATCTGATGGGCCCATACACATTTGTACATCATTTATGCACTACGCCTACCAAAATACAAATTTTACATTTTAGTTCCCTAGCATGGTGTAGGTACCTATTGAATACAAACAATAAATTATTATTCGAAAACACAATGTCATATACCTATTATTATTTACTAAATACCTAAACCTAAACTAAAAATAAACATATGATTACATTCTGAGTGAATAAAATATAATATTATACATGAAAATTGAATCTATATTACCAATACTTATCGTTTACACAGACCACAATAAAAAATAATTAAAAAAATTAAAAAATTAAAGAACACATCATTGTAAAATTAATACAGTCATCGATCTGCTCAGAATCTAAAATCTAAAATATATCCGATAAATTTAAAATTAACACATTAAATCATTATTATTAATTTCGTATTGAGCAGTATTCGGAGAAAATGACAGACTTGGAATTTTACAATCTAGTTTGTATTATAGTCGGTACTGTAAATTTGATGCATTTACTGAGTATACCTATACCTTTATATTAACTCTAAAATCCAGTAATTACATTTTTATTTAATGATTCATAAAATATAATATGCTTTTATAAAAATATGCTTGTACCTACTTCTTCTTCTATTCACCATCTTAATCAATATAATTGAATTAATAAACGAAAATAGTAATTTAAATAATACCTATATCATATTATTATAATTCAAATTCAAAATTATAAACTATTTTGGTTTATTGTCATATCAAATTTCAATGAACAAATTGTTCATTAACACGAAACTCTTTGATATAAAGAGTTGCATTATATTATATCCGTGGGTTCATCATATTGACGATACCTAGTTTAATATAATATCTATCATTTATATTCTATGGCAAATCTCAAAATCGTTGCAGACGACACAGTCGATTAAAAATTCTAAAATTTCCATCAGCAAAGCAGATATGAGTAAAAAATTTACTGCGTTCCGTATAATTTTATTTTTCATAAATCACAATATTTTAAGTTCTATTATATTCTGGAGCGTTTCCTCATCGGCGTCACAATTCACACACGTCACGGATTCCGCCGAAAGAGTCGATAATTAAAGTAAGTCTGTTTTCATATTCTTTTGGGGCTTCATTTTTACTTTGGTTTTTTCTAAAATATATGATAAAAATAAATCATATTTCGCTAAAAAAAAAAAATAATAAATCGTAAAATATTTTAAATATGCGTGGAATTATTTATTATGAT